GAAGCTGAACTCACTCATGATAGGACTCGGCGAGTCAATGCCCTGACTCGGCGAGTCCAAGGCAATCTTCATAGATCAAGAACAAACTCGGCGAGTTGTTCATACAACTCGGCGAGTCTTAGCATATGTGTTCTTCGGATGAAGATGAACTCGACGAGTTGTTCATACAACTCGGCGAGTAGGATGAAGGAGTTGAATGACAGTTTAGAAGATGAACTCGTCGAGTCATAGCCCAACTCGACGAGTAGAATCAGGGACCCAGGACAATAGTTTGCTAGGGACCACTCGGCGAGTTGGGTCAACTAAAAGTTGACTTCGATTTGACTTAGGGCTAGACCAGGGGTAAAATGGTCTTTTTACCCAAAGGACAGTTAGCAGTGTATGATTAAGTATATTGTGGGAATTACAGCCGGGGAGTTTCCGGAGCAGCAGCAGCAGTAGTAGGTGATCAATTCCCACACAGACCAGCAGCTATTTCGAGGTGAGTTTCCTTCCAGTAGTAACGGGTCTAAGGCACCAAGGCCGGCCCGTATAGATGAGACGTTAGTATTATAGTGTGGGCCGAGCCCGTATCTATTAGTTGAGTTGATTGTGTTATATACCAGCATGATAGAACTGTTTACACTTGTTGTCTGTGCGATACTTGTATGATATGAGTTGGCGGTTGAGTGTGGGCGGGGCCCGTATCTCTCCGAGAATGGAGTGTGGGCTAGGCCCGTATCTCCCAGGTAGCGAAGTGTGGGCGGGGCCCGTATCTTCACGAGTGTGGGCGGGGCCCGTATCTCTCAGAAAGTGAGGTGTGGGCGGGGCCCGTATCTTCACGAGTGTGGGCGAGGCCCGTATCTCCTAATTGCATGTTATATGTTAAATGCTTGTATGGTATGGGGTATTATGGGGGAGCTCACTAAGCTTTGTGCTTACGGTTTCAGTTTTGGTTTCAGGTACCTCCTCAGCTAGGGGAAAGGAGCCGGCGCGGTAGCAGCATGTCACACACACACTCTTCGGTTTCCGCATTTACGAGATTCACTGGGATTGTACTCTGATATTTGATGGGATGTATGGTTTGACTTTTAAAACATGGTTTGCGATGTGTTATGGTGTGATCAAACAATGTTTTTATTTATTAATGTTTTCTAAAGTAATATTTTAAAATGAAATTTTTGGACATGAAAATTGGGTCGTTACAGACTGATAGCCGGGTGTGGTGGGAATTCCTAGTGACCTAGGAAATGCGCTAAAACATGCTAGTTCGGACTCGTTCCAGAGTAGAATTGTATACAGATTCTAAGAAGTGTAATATTATGCACATGGCTAGGTATATACATGCATATGAGGAGCTTTATGGAGTGTTACGAAGTGACTTGTGAGTCTTAGAATAGTCCTTGGAATAGACCTTGGAACAAGTATGGACATGTGTGGAAGGTAGTATTGGGCCTGTACTATTAGAAGCATAGGATCTATACTTGGGTTAGGGGGTGTTCCAGGAATACCGAGGAACTTGTAGGTGGGTATGCATAGTGTGCGTCTGCACTGTTCATTTATTTAAGTGCATTTTTGTTATCTTTCAAATGTAAGATGACAACCTATTGTGTTAGTGATGAGATCCTGAGTGAGAGGGATGTATGCGACATCATAGTTCCAGAGACTTCAAAATTCATGAGAGAGGAATCACATGGTTTGATCAGTTCACTTGGGGATGAGTTGATTTTAGTGATGGATGAGCAACTTAGGGTTCTTTGGGCTGATTTGGATGCCGGTCGACTCAAGACTTCGGAGGTTTCCTTCAGGGAGTTCGACGCTTGTGGATCTACCTGTTTCTTTATTGGCATATGTTTAGTTGTTGAGAGTGCCTTTCGTGCCAACTTATGTTTGGCAGAGGCCACAGTTAGATTTGCAACATGTATTCTGCGCGACAGAGCTAAGGATTGATGGTGCTAAGGTTTTCAGGGCCTTGAACCAGATGTGGTTGAGTTCATGTCATGGGAGGATTTTGTTAGCAGATTCAAGAGAGATTTTATACTGACATTTGAAGTTCAGTAGTTGACTCGGGAGTATCTGGCGCTGGAGAAGACTAAAGAGACTGTGGTTGAGATTACTGTCAAGTTTAGAGAGAGAGAGAGAGAGTGATGTTTTTCCCTCGGTATGCAACTTCATAAGAGATGAGGATGACTCACTACCATGTCATGTTGAGAATGGAGACCCGGGAGTACGTGAGTATCTTGATTTATAAGACTCTTCCTAGTTTGTTGGAGGCCGCCAGAGAGAAAGAGAGATGGAGTTAGAGACCTAACAATGGAAGAGGAGGTAGGATCAGGTTCATATATCTACAACGACAACCAAGAAGGATTGAGTGACGGACTTTCGGTCTGGAGATCGAGTGACTCATGGATTTTGTGGGAGGTGAGGTCGGTCTCATTGGGGTATTTGTTGTGCATCTTTTGTGGATGCTTCATATGTGGTCAGGAGGGTCACTATAGCTGGGACTATAGTCTGAAGGAGTCACCAAGGTTATGTTTCTTTTGCTGTTAGCCATGCCATGTTAAGGCTGATTGTCCTCTGAGTGCAGATGGTGTGGTTTTGGATCCGACACCTTTGGCTTGGCAGTTATCGGATGGGCGACATGGGATAGTTGGAGTCCCCCGGACTGTTGTTTGATTTGTTCGTTCTTTAGTATCTCTTTTGTTTTGATTATTTTCATTGTTTCATTTGTCATCTTCAATGATCGTTAGGAACCAAGAGGTAAGGTTATTGGGTCGCCCTGGAGGTTCGAATGGTTATGAAGTCGTCATAGTTTAGCCAAATCTATGTGGGGGAGAATCTCCTTGTCGGATGGAATATTTCCGAGTGCAGGTTACCCCTTAGTTTCATATTCAAGGATAGAGAATAATTAGTTTTGGTTGTGTCCGAATTAAATCTTATGAATAGGTTGATGTTCAGATGTAAAAATACTACTTTGCCATTGATAACTTCTTTTTTAATTTAACTTTATCTATTAATCATTTTTAAAATCTAAAAAACAGAAAAAGAAAATAAATACCCCTACCAAACAGACCCTACAACAACCTCCCCTTTCCCTTCCTCCTTTCTCCTCCTGCATTCCCGTTTTACTTTTTCTTCTCTCCTTCCTATATGTGATCCCCACACTACACTATTGCAGCGATCCAGGTTTTCATCTGCATCTACAAGGATATATCATAGTTTTTTTTTATCAAATGTAGAATTCCATAAAAAAAACTAAAATACTTGATATCCCAGGGTTAATCACGAGTTTACAATAAAATCCATCAATTTAAATAAGCTACTAGGAAAATACAAATAAGAAAAAATTATTCTTCTATTCTAACTCTTTGTGCTCTTATCTTCTTCATGTACACCAATTGCTACATGACCCTGCAAAACATGGAACATCTCTAGAAGATTAGACAACAATGTCTGGTGACTTTTATTCTTTTTATTTCATGTTCATCCACCCTTCTTCGAACACTTTTTATCTTTGAATACTCTAATCTCCTTATCTTTTCTTTCTCATTCTCTACATTCTATCTCTTCATCTTTATCTTTCTCTTATCTTCGCATTTCTCTACATTCTATCTTTTTCTCACATACTCTACTATGTTCACTATATTTCTAATCTCATTTATCTCTTACTCTGTGATCTACTTTTTTTCTCATGCTCTTTCTTTGCCTCTTCTTAGGCCCATCTCATACTCTGTACATACTTTATCCTCTTTACCTCTTTTATCCTTTTCTTACTTCTTCTCTTTTCTCTTTCTATATCATCAATCTCATGTCATCTTTCTCTACTATTTCCTCTCTTAGGCATGCACTTCCTATACTCTTACTCTACTTTTTTCCTTATCTATTACTCTTAGCATGCCAATCTCATACTCTCATTACTTTTCCTCTCTCTATTCTCATATACTCATGCCTTAACATTCTCTCCTCAACTAGACCTAACGGTCCCATCTTGTACTATAATCTCCTATATCTTAAGATCCCTCATGAATCCTTAACCAATTTTCTTATATTGAATCACTCATAGATTCCTTATTCTTAATCATTCACGGATTACATCTAAGTTCTTTCAATAATGCTTTAATCTCCTTCCATTCATGGAACCCTTCTCAATCTTGTCTGACCATACATAACTCTATTCACATAGGAATCATCTATCAACATTCCAGAAGAAGTCATCATCTTTTACCCCGTAGGGAACATAATCTCGTTCACAAAGGAACCATACTCTTATTCCTAAAGGAATCATCTTTCTACACTTATATTAATATTTCATGTGACTCATCACATGAAACTTGTCCCATGCAGAATCTATTTCTTTATCTCATCAAGAGACTTTTTATTTGTCATTAAATACTTAACTTGTTAAGTACTTAACCTCTGTATTTGTCTATTAATATACATGTACTTTACATAATACCATTAATGTCTAGACATACATACATATATACAGACATAGAATTATAATGCATATTACCCTATTCTTTTTCTCATCTACATCTTATAGGTATTATGAATAATACCATTAGAATCTACACATGCTTACATACTCTTTTGTATGATTATAATACATATAATCATATTCTATTTCTTTCTACATCTCTTAGGTATTTAACAAATATCTTTTTCATCTAACCATACATACTATAATTATAAATACATGCTCAGATACATAATATTAAACTTATAATTATACATAAATTATCTTATATAGGATTATAATGCATATAATCCCATTATTTCTTCCTATACATCATGCTCGGTTACATGATGCTAAGCATATAATCATACATACATACATATAACTGAATATATAACAACATATATATATATATATATATATATATATATATATATATATTTATCTTTACTATATTATTAAACATATTGACTCTTTCTTGAAATTTAAGAGGTATACTTATTACAACATAATGTACAATCTTATAAAGCGTACTTCTATCTTACGTTGTAAACACTAAACCCTAGCCTCCTCGACACATCATTTCACGCCGTCAAACCCACCCCCTCTATCGCCTCACTTCTAACTCACTTCAGTTTCCGGTGTACTTCTGGTATCACAATCATCGCTCACTAAAATGCTCGACCTCCTAACCTGGATGATCGATGTCGTGCAACTCTACTTTTCTTTACATCTGTTTCTCTTCTCAAAACCCCAATCGTACATGTGTCTAATGAAGATCCAACTTTTGAAACCCTATCTAGCCACTGCCTTTGCTACCCCTTCTCTTGCCCCTCTTCTACGTTCTGTTATGACGAGAAACCCTAACAGTCTCCACAACTCTAATCGTCACCACCAGCGAAGAGGTGAGGACAAGGATAATGCTAAGCCATCAATTTCTGATTCATCTCTCTCCTTCATTCCTCAGTTGTTATTGACATTTACCTGGTATGTTTTTCTAATCTTTTTTTCTATTTGACCTAATTCTCACATATTGAGACCTGTAACACAACGACAAAGAAGATTGTAATTTAGCTTCATTAAAAATGATGCATTTATATATTTATATGTTTGAAATGATTCAGATATATGACATACCTGATGTCAAACAATAATCTGTAGCAAATGCTTTAAAATCCCTGCTTCTTAGACCCTTTGGTGTTTACACTCTTATTATATCAAACCAGTCACTTATTTTGATAAGAAAAGCATTAGTTCTAGAGTATTAGTTAATGCAACAATACAAGTACATGAGATTTTTGCTCTTGCACACTCGAAAAACAAAACATTTCTTGGAATGTTGCATAATTATAGAATTGGTTCTTCTGCATTGGTTGTGCTGCTTTGATTTTGAAAAAGGGAACAATCAGGTTAAAAATTTGTATGAATTTATTTGATTTTTAGGGATAAACGAAAAGATCCCAATAATCGAATCTGACCAATTTCTATAGAACAATTTGATGTCTGATTGCATGAGGTTCTTAGTAAATTGAAAATTACTTTGTTTAGTAAACCTAATCAACAGACCCTTATGTTTTCTGTAGACCTTGAGACACAAGGTTGGTGAAGAAGAAAACTTTTTTGCCATCACCACTACCTCTGTAAGTGAGATCAATATCTTATTCTTTTTATATCTTTTCTACATGATTAGGATTATATATTTTCTCTAACATTTCTTATTAATCAACTCTTGTTTTGGTTGAATTGAAGAAGCCCGAAGAAACTCGCATCCTGGAGGTTTAATGTTTCTGATTTGGTATCGTCACCAGATTTATCTATGCGTTATTGATTATTGATATTCTCGAAACTCCATTCGAGTAAATAGATAATTACTTCACCTTTCTTGAATCTTGATTTTTTTTCACTAATCATCTGGTTGTTTATAAAATCATATGTCTAATTGTTGATATATTCAATTGATTTTAAGTTAAGGTTGGTTGGGGGTGCACCCACTTCTCCTGTTGTCATTCGTTGCTTTCATTCTTCTACAATCTTCAATTCCAGTTATCTTAAATTTTAATAGGAAGAGGTAAAAGTTCTTGATCATTCTGTTCACTGCTGAGTGGATTATGTTTTGTCTTCTTATTATTGTATGATTAATTAGTGGAAGTATGACTAATTATGTATTGTGGTTAGTTTCACAGCTTTCATTTGCTAAATTTCTATTTCTGTCAAGTTAATGTTTTTCTGTTTTGTTGTAATTTCAATTATTTTCACTATTTATACCTTATGTAAGTGAATTGTGATTGCATGAGTTCACATTTCTGAATATTGGAAATTAATTTTTAGCAACCTCTAGCTTTTGTAGTATAGGAGGTTGTTTTTCTCTAAGTTGTGAATACATTTCAATGGTAGAAGTCATAACCAATTGGTGTAGATCAATTTAAGATGATTGTTTGGATTTATTGCAGGAACTGATGATGATTTATCCGCCATCCCTTCAAAATAGAATTCCAAGAGGTGGATCCGTTTTACGGGCCTTTAAAGCCCAAGCTGATGCAATTACTTGGGTACGTTTTGTCATCATATTTTATTGATCATCTTTTAGTTTGATGTTTACTGAAATATGTTTTTTTTTTTAATTACCAATTTTATCGATAATGATTGGAGATGGTGTCAATATTTGATTGGAGATGGTGTTTGTAACATCTGTTTTTGTTTCTCTTCTTTCTGAATTTAGTTAAAGCAACTTTCTTATTGTATATATTGATGCTGCTGTTTGCATTATACACTCAGTTTTTATGTTGATTGCTTCTTGTTGCTTATACAGTTGAGACAATGTAATATACAGTGGAGAAAATGTAATGCTTCATTGTTACAGAAATAGTTGCTTCCACTATATTACTTAGTTGAAGAAAGATGTCCTCTATCTTCTTTTGTGTAAGTTGGATTATGTCCTTGATCAAAGCATTTCTGTCCACCATCACCATCACCATCACCAGAACCAATACACAAGATTCCATATGTTGTGCATATTTAGTTGAAACAAAGTATTGATTCAAATGGTAACTGTCTTTGGCATTTTTGCTTGGGAGTGTTGCTAGATTGTGTATTGGAATTGGTTTTGCATTCTCTTGGTATATGTAAATTGCTAGCAGATCATGAGAATAGTGGTGCTTGTGTGGAACTGTAAAATATTGTTAATTGTATGTATGTTTTATTTTTTCTGATTAGTTGTTTGATTTATATTTATTATTATTATTAGTATGTTTTGTGTGCTAGAATGAAGATTTGAAAATATAAAATGAAACTAAAAACATATAGATAAATAAAATGTGTTCCAGTTGACGATGCAAATATTTGGTGTGTGAACTCAAAAGGTGGGGAGTTGTGGGATGTAGTTTTCAAAATCCTAAATATCTTGGGGGAGATTACCATGGCAGTTCCACATTTATACTCATATTGACAAAAAATGTAGAGTAACATGCGCATGTGAAGAGAAAATTTTGAAATAAGTAAGACGGATTTGAATTTTTGTGTCCCTGTTGAGTTTTGCATGCTGTTTGTTTGACCAGAAGCTAATAACAAATGTGTTATATCAATAGTAATTTAAAATGTAACATGGTGTAAAACATGTGTAAATCCATGGTGTAAAGCCATGAGTTTGTATCGATTATGATTCTCTTTAATCTCTGATTTTTGTTGTCTGTAATGTAGATAAAACATGCTAAACTTTGTTGTTGTCAAGATAATTAAACTGTGAAGATTGAGACGAAAAAAATAATACAGTATATGAAATAAGATGTAGTTTAAGATTGTTTTGAGCCGTCAAATGAAGATGGTTTGGTTGAGGACTCAATTGTTAACCAGTTGTCCTTTTCATTTTAAGGCCAAGTGATTTGAAATAAAAATTTGTCCAGTTAAAATAAGAATTTGTCCGCAACACTTATTTCTATTTTAAACTAATGATCAACTGATGAAATTTTGCTAAATTTATTAGTTACTGTTTTTACTTTTTATATTGTTATCATATTTTACTTTTAATATTGTTGTCATGATAACCTACAGATTTTTAAAGAATTAGTAATTATTGGTTAGACGTCTACAATTGAAATTATTGAAATAAACAAAAACTAAATACTATTAGCATTACGACGGAAAAAGAAACTGCAAAGGTATGTGAATATTCGTATGTATTTATATTAATACTTATGCATAAGTTACATTAATAAAGATTAAAATTGATAACATTAATATTTACCATGTACTTTATATCCAAATGCATATAATTATTTATCAAATTTTGATCGGTTATGGGAACAATGATAATCATTCTAAATATATCACCCACAAAAACCCAAAATATTTTGGGTTTTATAGGTGCGGTTCAATATCAATAGAGAGGCTCATCAAATTATATAACTTATGGGGTTATTATTAGCTAAAATAGAAAATTTCGATAAACATAATGATCGGTTGGTTGACCCCAATACATTCGTCAAAAGTTCAGATTTTTCAAATGACACAAAATGGAACAAAATTGAGACCTTCGTGCTCCATTTTTTTTACATTACTTCAAAGTTTTTAATATATATATATATATATATATATATATATATATATATATATATATATATATATATATATATATATATATATATATATATATATATATTGTCTTAAACAACACAAAACTATTATTAACTTGCGTATATCTATATACAATTACTATTAATTATATTATTATCATATATATATATATATATATATATATATATATATATATATATATATATATATATATATATATATATATATATATATATATATATATTGTCTTAAACAACACAAAACTATTATTAACTTGCGTATATCTATATACAATTAATATTAATTATATTATTATCATTATTTTAGACAATCCTTTTCCCCTCTTGATAAAAATCAAAGAGGAGTAATAATTAGTTTTCGATCATCCATCCGCCCTTCAGTGTCACTACAAAATATGAGGCTATATTATAGAAAGTAATTAATATTTGTTTGCTGAAATGAAACTATCCAGTCATTTGTTGAAAGGAAACCATTCTCCATTTTCATTGAAAGCCTATTTATGCATATGAAAAATAAAATAATCGCCTAAAGTGCACTATCTCTGAAAAAATTGTTTGTACCCGTCGCTTGGCGCGGGTAAACGGCTAGTATGTATGTATATATATATATATATATATATATATATATATATATATATATATATATATATAGAGAGAGAGAGAGAGAGAGAGAGAGAGTTATAACTCAACTTGTTAGTTAGTTAGGACTAACTACCAATTGGCTCTAAATCTTTATATGATGCATATTGGCTAATCCTCTTACTCAAGGCCTATTCATACAACATTTCAAGTTCCTTAAAACTTATCTTAGCCTATTAAGAGCTTACTACTTTTTAATGTCGAAATGATCACTTAATTGATCATAATTCTAACATTTCATTTTCTACTTCTAAATTCAATCCAAACAATGAACTAGGCATCCCATACTATCTAATTCATTTCACTATAATCCCTAATGTATCAATTAAACATTACCATGAGTTACGGTTTCCAACCCTAACTTCTCATTTATGGATTTCACCTTGGAAATCACATATAGAGCTTGTTCATAACTTCTAAACACTTTATTAAACATTAATAACAAGTTTTCTTAACGCAATCTTACATAACTAACGCAAGTCATCAAAACACCATTAAGCCTTAATTAGCTTAATTATGGAGAAGATGAATACCTCTTGAGTTTTCAATGTTCAAACCAATCCATAAACACCCATAATCGCCCTTTGATCCTTCTTCCTTCTCCAATTCTCCAGATCTCATCTATAGGGGGTTTGGGATTGGTTATGATGAGAATGAACTGTATCTGAGGTTCTGATCTATTGAAACACCACGCCGTCATGGGGTCTTTACTGCGCTATGGTGGCCATTTGAATTTGATCAATGGTAGCTCACTTATGCCACCGCACCATGGCGATCTATTTACCATGCCGTGGTACCTGAAGATCAACAAAGTGCTTTGCTGATTACATTTCAGCTTTGGGGACATTTTTCTTACAATCTGATAACACCCATAACTTCTATGTTTCTAACTCGTTTTCTATGATCTCTATATCCACAAAAATATGGTAACATACTCTACAAATCTGTAGAGTCATTTTTCACTGACTTAATATGGGTCTTAATCTATTAAGTCACAAACTTGGCCCCTAAAACATAAAAATACCCATTTTACCTTTTGGATAAAATGCATCTTCTCGTGCATTTCTTTTCTTGAAATCACTTATCTAATCTCATCTTAGTGACTTAAACTTGTTTTTTTTCCATTTTCATGAAGTCACAACTTCATAAATTCATATAATTCTCATAAATGACCATTTTGTCCTTTTTGGTAAATATTCGACTAAAAGTCAAATTTCTCTAAATTTTGGGTTCTTACAATCTACCCTCTTTAAAGAGATTTCATCATCGAAATATTTTCATACTCTCATAGTAATTTTCTCACTTAGTGACTCATTTCTAAGGTTATTATTTTCTTTAACCTCCTAAACCAAAATAGCAATCTACTTTTTATTTCATTACATTTTCAATGCAATGGCCAAAATCTCTTCATCTATTACTCAAAATGGTTATTCTTGGACATCTACTACTCTATATACTCTTATGCAATCACATTTCATACTAAGCACCATTTCTCATCTTTTGTCCTATTTTCACAACCATGTGTATAAACTTACATTTTTCATTCCTTTTCTCACAAGTGTACCAAAACACACTACAAATAAATTTACATATAGTGGCACCAAAATTTTGTGCCACTATATTAAGTTTTTAATGGCATAAAAAATTTCATTCCCGCTACTTGCTAAAATTTCATTCCCGCTTTCGTTAAATTTTCATTCCCGCTTTAGTTTGCTTTCACCCAATATAGTTGTAGAAACTTTCATTCACTTCTAAAAATTAAACCCTAAGTATCTTTTCAAACGTAAAATAAAGTCCAATTCTTATCTGCTCCTCTCTCCACCATGTGCCATAGCTCTGTGCATCAATCCCTCCTTTTGCCTTCTCTAGCCCACTGAAGTTCACTATTGACACACATTAAGGTCTGTATATACTTCGTTCTTGAGTTTTTCAGATTTTCAATGTTAATTATTATTGGTCAGAAGTTTTTTTTTAGTTTCCTTTTTAACAAAACATCTTCTAATTTCTTGTAAGTCACATTGAAATATTTATTTGGAAAACTAGTATTGAGTTATTCTACAACGATTACCTTTTCTTTTTGAAGAAAACTAAGTGTTCGATCAAATTCCTCAATTAAACTAGAAGACCTATCCAATGATATCATGCTTCCTTTTGTTTATAGTTACAAATGTTGTAAGTATTACTTGAATAACACCTACACAACTAGGTGAATTTGTTCATTTCACAAAACTTTTATGCACTATTGAACTATATGGTGATGTATGCAAACTATTTGTAGTGTTGTTACACTTAATTGTATTCTTCCTACTATTTCTCTAAAAAAAGTGTCAACTTTATTCATTCCATGAAATTTATGCATAAACTGTCTTTGATAAACTTTAAACATTCATATTTATCAGATTAACATCAGGTGAGGATCTCAGTGTCTCTTACTTTCATTCATATCACTGTCAACTTATTCAAGTTGCTTCTTAATGTTTGCTTCTTTTTTATTAGCACTGTCATCTGGTGATGTTTGTCTTAACAAAAACCGTGGAAAAGAATTATAATGAGGAGAACATAATTTTGAGTTGTTTCATCTCCAAGTGAGCTCCTCAGTTACTAGTACCCAAAAGCTAACAAGATGTGGGTAATAGATTTTCACTAAAATTATTTTTAAGAGCTTCAAAAGAGAGTTTTCATTAGAGAAAAAGACATTTCTTTTGTTTGGTGTCACATTGACATTGTATACCTTTGTTATCCCCTGTTCCAGAAATCATATCTTTCCCAGGTTAAGCCCCTAGTATAAATAATAAGGACTTTCTGGAATTTGAGCTTTTGTTATCTTTGACCTTCTTAAATTATAAATCAGTTGCTTTCTGATTTCTTATTTCAATCTACTATAAGGCTTCATTGTGTATTTTATATAGAAAATAAACCTATTTTAAATTTTATAATGTTTGAATCAAACTTTAATATT